TTTAAATAAGCGTGGACTACTCACAGTGGTTCGAGAAATAGTAATATTGCAAAATGAGCTGCAAGATTCAGATGAAAATATCAGAAGCAAAGTCATATATTGTAAGAAGAATAAAAACAGTGGCTATGAAGCTCTTGGGAATGATAATACATTGTATATGTAACAGTTCCTGAGGGATATCATATTAGTAATAGGGACATCACATTAGTAACTGAGGGATATCACATTAGTAACAGGGATGTGACATTAGTAACATGGATGTCACATTAGTAACATATATATCACATTACTAACAGAATTAACATGCCTGTGTAGCAGTATAAGGAATTGAAAATAATATTCATGTACAGTCTACCCTGTAAAAATCTACACATATAAGGAACCTGAGCAATCATTCAGGACAGAACAATAACATACATGTGCAGCAACAGTAAGGAACAATAACATACATGTGCAGCAGCAACAGTAAGGAACAATTACATGTGCAGCAGCAACAGTAAGGAACAATTACATGTGCAGCAGCAACAGTAAGGAACAATAACATACATGTGCAGCAGCAACAGTAAGGAACAATTACATGTGCAGCAGCAACAGTAAGGAACAATAACATACATGTGCAGTAGCAACAGTAAGGAACAATAATATACATGTGCAGTAGCAACAGTAAGAAACAATAATATACATGTGCAGTAGCAACAGTAAGGAACAATTACATGTGCAGCAGCAGTAACAGTAAGGAACAATAACATACATGTGCAGCAGCAACAGTAAGGAACAATAACATACATGTGCATCAGCAACAGTAAGAAACAATAACATACATGCGCAGCAGCAACAGTAAGGAACAATAACATACATGTGCAGTAGTAACAGTAAGAAACAATAACATACATGTGCAGCAGCAACAGTAAGAAACAATAACATACATGTGCAGTAGTAACAGTAAGAAACAATAACATACATGTGCAGTAGTAACAGTAAGAAACAATAACATACATGTGCAGCAGCAACAGTAAGAAACAATAACATACATGTGCAGTAGTAACAGTAAGAAACAATAACATACATGTGCAGTAGTAACAGTAAGAAACAATAACATACATGTGCAGTAGTAACAGTAAGAAACAATAACATACATGTGCAGCAGCAACAGTAAGAAACAATAACATACATGTGCAGTAGTAACAGTAAGAAACAATAACATACATGTGCAGCAGCAACAGTAAGGAACAATAACATACATGTGCAGCAGCAACAGTAAGGAACAATTACATGTGCAGCAGCAACAGTAAGAAACAATAACATACATGTGCAGCAGCAACAGTAAGGAACAATAACATACATGTGCAGCAGCAACAGTAAGGAACAATAACATACATGTGCAGCAGCAACAGTAAGGAACAATTACATGTGCAGCAGCAACAGTAAGAAACAATAACATACATGTGCAGCAGCAACAGTAAGGAACAATAACATACATGTGCAGCAGCAACAGTAAGGAACAATAACATACATGTGCATCAGCAACAGTAAGAAACAATAACATACATGTGCAGCAGCAACAGTAAGCGACAATAATCTAAATATGCTGTTGGGGTTTTGAGGGCTACCAAAACTTTTACCTTACTGACTCCTGCCTCCCAGGACTCCGGGAAAATTATATTGGCCAAATCTGGACTGGAAACAATGAAATAACAAAGTTTCCTACACAAAAAGAGAAATGGAACAATATGTTACCAATAAGGTCAGATGGAACCCACTTGCCTGAACCTCGGCAGAGGCAGCAAGACTGGACCTAGTTTTCACCTTGAGTGCAGCAGATACTGAGGGCATCACATTTGAAACACCCCTCGGGGCTAGTGACCACGTGGTTCTGAGCTTCGAAGTGGAGAGGGAAGCAGGATGGGCAGGACGAACGAAACCAAACTACAAGACAGGGGACTATAGAGGCATGAAGAATTTCCTGCACGAGGTTCAGTGGGACAGAGCACTGGCAGGGAAGCCAGTAAATGAGATGATGGAATATGTGACACCAATATGCAAGGAAGCTGAGAAGAGGTTTATACCCAAGGGTAACAGAAATAACGAGAAAGCCAGGATGAGACCTTGGTTCACTCAAAGGTGTAGAGAGGTCAAAACCAAGTGTGTTAGATAATGGAAGAAGTATAAGAGATAAGATGAGATTTCGTTCGGATTTTTAACCCCGGAGGGTTAGCCACCCAGGATAACCCAAAACGTCAGTGCGTCATCGAGGACTGTAACTTATTTCCATTGTGGTCCTCAATCTTGTGCCCCAGGATGCAACCCACACCAGTCGACTAACACCCAGGTACCTATTTGCTGCTAGGTGAACAGGACAACAGGTGTAAGGAAACATGTCGAAATGTTTCCACCCGCTGGGAATCGAACCCGGGCTCTATAGCCACCAGGCCACCGGGCCAGGAGAATAAGGAAACCAGTCGTAGAGCCAGAAATGAATATGCACAAGGGAGGCCCAATGACAATACGAAAATGACATAGCAGCAAAACCCAAATCTGACCTGAAGCTGTTGTACAGCCACATCAGGAGAAAAACAACAGTCAAGAACCAGGTAATCAGGCTGAGGAAGGAAGGCGGGGAAATCATAAGAAACGATTGAGAAGTATGTGAGGAGCTCAACATAAGATTCAAAGAAATGTTCACAGAGGAGACAGAAGGTGGAGTACACCATCAAGTGTTGGACACAATATATACAACCGAGGAAGAAGTGAAGAGGCTGCTAAGCGAGCTAGAGAGGGAGCAGAGGCGCTATGTGTGCCACTAACAACAATCTTCAACACATTTATCGAAACAGGGCGACTACCTGAGGTATGGAAGACAGCAAATATAGTCCTTGCTACTGCAGTAAAATAGAACATACAGGTGCTGCAGGAGCACAGTAAGAGAGAACATACATATGCTGCACGAGAAGCATTAAGAGAGAACATACAGGTGCTGCAGGAGAACAGTAAGAGAGAACATACATGTGCTGCAGGAGAAGCATTAAGAGAAAACATACAGGTACTGTAGGAGAACAGTCAGAGAGAACATACATGTGCTGCAGGAAAAGCAGTAAGAGAGAACATACATGTGCTGCTGTAGTATGAGAGAACATACATGTGCTGCAGCAGTAAAAGCATCTCCCAGTCCTCCCAGGCCCAGTTGTTGAAGGTGGGTAGTCGTAGTAGTGTTCTGGTGTCTTCATCAACAACTGCATTGCTACAAAAAAAAGGAAAATCTATGTAAAACAAATATAGAATTCCATATATGACATTTTACACCACTAGCTAGTGTTGTAACACTGGCTGGTGGTGTAACACTACCTGGTGTTGTAACACTGGCTGGTGGTGTAACACTACCTGGTGTTGTAACACTGGCTGGTGGTGTAACACTACCTGGTGTTGTAACACTGGCTGGTATTATAACACTGGTGGTGTTACATTACTGACCAATACACATTACCAAACCCTCTCCATTATTGTGCCACAATTTTAAAATTTATTTAATATACAATCTGAACTTACCAATACCCCTCGGATTTAGTGATTCCCAAAGGATATATATATATATAATATATATATATTATATATATATATATATATATATATATATATATAATTATATATATATATATATATATATATATATATATATATATTATTATCACACTGGCCGATTCCCACCAAGGCAGGGTGGCCCGAAAAAGAAAAACTTTCACCATCCTTCACTCCATCACTGTCTTGCCAGAAGGGTGCTTTACACTACAGTTTTAAACTGCAACATTAACACCCCTCCTTCAGAGTGCAGGCACTGTACTTCCCATCTCCAGGACTCAAGTCCGGCCTGCCGGTTTCCCTGAACCCCTTCATAAATGTTACTTTGCTCACACTCCAACAGCACGTCAAGTATTAAAAACCATTTGTCTCCATTCACTCCTATCAAACACGCTCATGCATGCCTGCTGGAAGTCCAAGCCCCTCGCACACAAAACCTCCTTTACCCCCTCTCTCCAACCTTTCCTAGGCCGACCCCTACCCCGCCTTCCTTCCACTACAGACTGATACACTCTTGAAGTCATTCTGTTTCGCTCCATTCTCTCTACATGTCCAAACCACCTCAACAACCCTTCCTCAGCCCTCTGGACAACAGTTTTGGTAATCCCGCACCTCCTCCTAACTTCCAAACTACGAATTCTCTGCATTATATTCACACCACACATTGCCCTCAGACATGACATCTCCACTGCCTCCAGCCTTCTCCTCGCTGCAACATTCATCACCCATGCTTCACACCCATATAAGAGCGTTGGTAAAAACTAACTCTCATACATTCCCCTCTTTGCCTCCAAGGACAAAGTTCTTTGTCTCCACAGACTCCTAAGTGCCACCACTCACTCTTTTCCCCTCATCAATTCTATGATTCACCTCATCTTTCATAGACCCATCCGCTGACACGTCCACTCCCAAATATCTGAATACATTCACCTCCTCCATACTCTCTCCCTCCAATCTGATATTCAATCTTTCATCACCTAATCTTTTTGTTATCCTCATAACCTTACTCTTTCCTGTATTCACCTTTAATTTTCTTCTTTTGCACACCCTACCAAATTCATCCACCAATCTCTGCAACTTCTCTTCAGAATCTCCCAAGAGCACAGTGTCATCAGCAAAGAGCAGCTGTGACAACTCCCACTTTGTGTGTGATTCTTTATCTTTTAACTCCACGCCTCTTGCCAAGACCCTCGCATTTACTTCTCTTACAACCCCATCTATAAATATATTAAACAACCACGGTGACATCACACATCCTTGTCTAAGGCCTACTTTTACTGGGAAATAATTTCCCTCTTTCCTACATACTCTAACTTGAGCCTCACTATCCTCGTAAAACTCTTCACTGCTTTCAGTAACCTACCTCCTACACCATACACTTGCAACATCTGCCACATTGCCCCCTATCCACCCTGTCATACGCCTTTTCCAAATCCATAAATGCCACAAAGACCTCTTTAGCCTTATCTAAATACTGTTCACTTATATGTTTCACTGTAAACACCTGGTCCACACACCCCCTACCTTTCCTAAAGCCTCCTTGTTCATCTGCTATCCTATTCTCCGTCTTACTCTTAATATATATATATATATATATATATATATATATATTATATATATATATATATATATATATATATATATATATATATAATATATATAATATATATATATAATATATATATATATATATATATATATATATATATATATATATATATATATATATATAATATGACCCGCAGCTGGAGCTTTTGGTCATCTGACCGAGGCCTTCCACTGGCTTACCCGTCCACCCCTTTAAAAATTATGGCTGTGGTTATAACCATTAGTCATTTATTTTCGAGCAGTACGAAGATCCCCTTGCCAGTAGCTGGTGTCAGGCTGCGAGATTTCAGTTATAATGTGACTTTCTTAAATTGTTAAAAAAAAAAAAATAAAGTAATATTTATTTGTCTTATATAATAAAATGTAGAAACATTACTGAAGATTTTTAGATGGGAAAGTAAAAGAGAGAGAGAGAGAGAGAGAGAAAGGGGCACTCACCATATCTCCCTGAACTTCGAGAAGACGGTAGCCAGCTCAGCGTCGACCTTCCTGCGGTAGTGAACGTGTTGCCAGTATGGATGACTCTCAGCCAGGTTGCCCAGCGGCTCTCCCATACCTTCCTTGTAGAACCCTGCCAGAGGTAATAGTGGTCAGTGCTACCAGGGAGGAGTAGTCATTGTGCTAACAGGGAGTAGTCATTGTGCTAATAGGGAGGAGTGGTCACTGTGCTAGCAGCGAGGAGTGGTCATTGTGCTAACAGGAAGGAGTGTTCATTGTGCTAGCAGCGAGGAGTGGTCATTGTGCTAACAGGAGTGTTCATTGTGCTAGCAGCGAGGATTGGTCATTGTGCTAACAGGAAGGAGTGTTCATTGTGCTTGCAGGGAGGAGTGGTCATTGTGCTACCAGGGGGGAGTGATCATAGTGCTAACAGGGAGGAATGATCATAGTGCTACCAGGGAGGAGTGGTCATTGTGCTAACAAGGAGGAGTGGTCATTGTGCTAACAGGGAGGAGTGGTCGTTGTGCTACCAGGGAGGAGTGGTCATTGTGCTAACAAGGAGGAGTGGTCATTGTGCTAGCAGGGAGGAGTGGTCATTGTGCTAGCATTGGAGTGGTCACTGTGCTAGCAGGGAGGAGTGGTCATTGTGCTAGCAGGGAGGAGTGGTCATTGTGGTAACAGGAAGGAGTGGTCATTGTGCTACCTGAGAGGAGTGGTCATTGTGGTAACAGGAAGGAGTGGTCATTGTGGTACCTGAGAGGAGTGGTCATTGTGGTAACAGGAAGGAGTGGTCATTGTGCTAGCAGGGAGGAGTGGTCATTGTGCTAGCAGGGAGGAGTGGTCATTGTGCTACCTGAGAGGAGTGGTCATTGTGCTAACAGGAAGGAGTGGTCATTGTGCTAACAGGAAGGAGTGGTCATTGTGCTAGCAGGGAGGAGTGGTCATTGTGCTACCTGAGAGGAGTGGTCATTGTGCTAACAGGAAGGAGTGGTCATTGTGCTAGCAGGGAGGAGTGGTCATTATGCTAAAAGGGAGGAGTGATCAGAGTGGTATCACGGGTAGGGCACAACGCTGCCAGGGTAGGGCACAGCGCTGCTAGGAGTAGGGCACAACGCTGCCAGGGTAGGGCACAGCGCTGCTAGGAGTAGGGCACAGCGCTGCTAGGGGTAGAGCAGTGCTACCAGGGGTAGGAAAATGTGCTTCCATGATAACAGAAATGGAAGAGGGGAAATTGTTGATGAAGAGGGAGAGGAAGAGGCTGAGGACGGCGTAGAACAAAAGCTAAGCTCAGGTTACTAACTCCTCGTCTTGTGCACTATGTCTGCTGCTCTTCCTTCCCTCTAATTCATGTGTTGAAACAACACCTCCTCTCAACCCACATTTTGTCTCGCTACCTTAAAGTGGATGATCAACTAGAAAACTACCTTAAAGTGGATGATCAACTAGAAAACTACCTTAAAGTGGATGATCAACTAGAAAACTACCTTAAAGTGGATGATCAACTAGAAAACTACCTTAAAGTGGATGATCAACTAGAAAACTACCTTAAAGTGGATGATCAACTAGAAAACTACCTTAAAGTGGATGATCAACTAGAAAACTACCTTAAAGTGGATGATCAACTAGAAAACTACCTTAAAGTGGATGATCAACTAGAAAACTAGAGTGGGTGGAATGAATATTTCTAGACTACCAAATGTCTGACGTGATGCCCTTCCGTAGCCTAGTCTAAAACAGCGAAAACTGTCGGTATATCTGAAGAATTACTACAATGGATATCCGAGTGCGTCATGCACACAGCACACACGCAGTATTAATATTACATTCATGGTAAAGTTGTAAACAGGTAGTATTAACAAGTAGAGAGACCACAATTTGCTTGTAGAGAATATTCGTGAAGTGTGTAAACATGGTGCATGGCGGCCATCTTGTCTCATTATTTATAGTGAGACAAATTAACCAGACGGCATAAACAGTGAAAAAGAGGGAGGGAGAGAGAGAAAAAAGAGAAAAGAGAGTTACCACCACATCTGCTACAGTACCATCACCACACCTGCCACAATACTATCACTACACCTGCCACAATACTACCACCACACCTGCCACAATACTATCACCACACTTACTACTAAACTATCACCACACCTGGCATTGTACTATCACCACACCTGCCACAATACTATCACTCCACCTGCCACAATATTATCACCACACCTGCCACAATACTACCACCACACCTGCCATATTACCACCACACCTGCCACAATATTACCAACACACCTGTCACAATACTATCATCACACCTGCCACAAAACTATCACCACACTTACCACAAAACTATCACCACGCCTGCCACTGTACTATCATCACACACGCCACAATACTATCACCACACCTGCCACTGTACTATCCCCACACCTGCCACAATAATACCACCAGCACCTGCCACAATACTATCACCACACCTGCCACAATGATACCATCAGCACCTACCACAATACTATCACCACACCTGCCACTGTACTATCACCACAACTGTCAATATTATCACCACACCTGCCACAATAATACCACCAGTACCTACCACAATACTATCACCACACCTGCCACTGTACTATCCCCACACCTGCCACAATAATACCACCAGTACCTGCCACAATACTATCACCACACCTGCCACTGTACTATCACCACACCTGCCACAATAATACCACCAGTACCTGCCACAATACTATCACCACACCTGCCACTGTACTATCCCCACACCTGCCACAATAATACCACCAGTACCTGCCACAATACTATACACCACACCTGCCACTGTACTATCACCACACCTGCCACAATACTATCACCACACCTGCCATAATAATACCACCAGTACCTGCCACAATACTATCATCACACCTGCCATAATAATACCACCAGTACCTGCCACAATACTATCACCACACCTGCCATAATAATACCACCAGTACCTGCCACAATACTATCACCACACCTGTCACAATAATACCACCAGTACCTGCCACAATACTATCACCACACCTGTCACAATAATACCACCAGTACCTGCCACAATACTATCACCACACCTGCCACTGTACTATCCCCACACCTGCCACAATAATACCACCAGTACCTGCCACAATACTATCACCACACCTGCCACTGTACTATCACCACACCTGCCACAATACTATCACCACACCTGCCATAATAATACCACCAGTACCTGCCACAATACTATCACCACACCTGCCATAATAATACCACCAGTACCTGCCACAATACTATCACCACACCTGTCACAATAATACCACCAGTACCTGCCACAATACTATCACCACACCTGTCACAATAATACCACCAGTACCTGCCACAATACTATCACCACACCTGTCACAATAATACCACCAGTACCTGCCACAATACTATCACCACACCTGTCACAATAATACCACCAGTACCTGCCACAATACTATCACCACACCTGTTACAATAATACCACCAGTACCTGCCACAATACTATCACCACACCTGCCACTGTACTATCCCCACACCTGCCACAATAATACCACCAGTACCTGCCACAATACTATCACCACACCTGTCACAATAATACCACCAGCACCTGCAGCAGACGACGTTTCACGTTGTAGAACTTTATCAATGTTTAACTTGATAAAATTGTAAATAAAGTTCTAAGGGGCGAAACGTGGTGGTAGTAAGAGCATATTCTGCAGCCACGGTCATCACTGCTTCTGAGTTATGAGTGGCAGGATGTGTGACTAATGCAGAGTATTCTTATAGTGACGGAGGGACGCTAAACAATTTCGGAGGGAGTTGAGTGATAGCTCCAGGCCTTCGTATTGTAATTAACGCATCGTCAGGAGCTTGCAATGTTGCAGAAAAGAGGATGAAGTCCAAGCAAATACGTTTAGAGGCAGTGTGTTTGTTGAAGCGAAGACGCTGTCTTTCTACTACTACTACTATTATGCTGCTATTGCTATTACTAATTCTTTCACTAATGCTACGTTTTCATACTTTTGCTTCTTTCTCTAGTACTACCTCCACTACTGCTACCTTATTTCTAATACTACCAATGGAAATAAGTCACTTTGACTTTTCTGGGTTATTCTAGGTAACTGTCACTATGTATGATAATTGCAGTTATGTGCACCTGTACCTAAATAAACTTACCTACTTACACTGTTGTTTGCGAGGAGGAAGCAAGTGCTGGTGAGACTCACCTAGCCAGGAGAGGTGTTCAGTAGTCTCCAGCCTCATCTTGAAGCTGTCTACTGCCTTCTTGAGTTCTTCAACCACAGGAGGTAAGTCTGTCTTGAGCGAGGATATGCTTCTCTCAACCTCTATCAACCTGTGTGCGTGAAGAGTTGTCATTACTGTGACCTCATACACCGTTATTGTGACCTGATACACCAATACTGACCTAATACACCAATACTGTGACCTGATATACCAATACTGCGACCTGATACACCAATATTGTGACCTGATACACCAATATTGAGACCTGATACACCATTGTGACCTGATACACCAATAGTTACCTGATACACCAATAATGTAACCTGGTACACCAATACTGTGACCTGATATACCAATACTGTAACCTGATACACAAATACTGCGACCTGATACACCAATATTGTGACCTGATACACCAATAATGTGACCCGATACACCAATACTGTGACCTAATATACCAATACTGTAACCTGATACACCAATACTGTGACCTGATACACCACACATTACAGAAGACAAGTATCTTAACAATAGTGTGTCAAACACTACAAGAGAGAGGATGACCTACTCCTACTCAGACCATTAGGATGCCGTTCCCTCTGCTCGTAAGGGTGCCGCCCACGTAATGGAAGGAGGGAGGTGATGGAGCTTCCATCCTCTGAGTGAGCTTGAGGGGGCATGTCAAACACCACAACTCTCTCTCTCTCTCCCTCCCATGAACGGGAGAGAGAAAGAGAGAGATTTGCTCACTAACTCACTCTAAACAGCGTAATAAATCTCTACAAGTATAACTGAGCTCTACACAACGTGATAAAGCTCTACACAACGTGATAAAGCTCTACACAACGTGATAAAGCTCTACACAACGTGATAAAGCTCTACACAGAGAGGAAGACTGTGTCAATGCTTCTTGTGCTACCTCTGTGTTATCTGGCAAGGTGTCCGGTGTTTACAATGCAGCTGCACTCAGTGTTCGGTGTTTACAATGGTGCTGTAACCTTACACAACATAGCTGCACTCAGGTGTTCGGTGTTCACAATGGTGCTGTAACCTTACACAACACAGCTGCACTCAGGTGTCCGGTGTTTACAATGGTGCTGTAACCTTACACAACACAGCTGCACTCAGGTGTCCGGTGTTTACAATGGTGCTGTAACCTTACACAACACAGCTGCACTCAGGTGTCCGGTGTTTACAATGGTGCTGTAACCTTACACAACACAGCTGCACTCAGGTGTTCGGTGTTTACAATGGTGCTGTAACCTTACACAACACAGCTGCACTCAGGTGTTCGGTGTTTACAATGGTGCTGTAACCTTACACAACACAGCTGCACTCAGGTGGAAAAACTGCTTATTGATTTGTATAATTAAAACCTTGTTTACACGCAAGATGATGAACCTTGTACACTCATGAGTGAAGGCGTATGTGTGTGTACTCACCTATTTGTGGTTGCAGGGGTCGAGTCATAACCCCTGGCCCCGCCTCTTCACTAATTGCTACTGGGTCCTCTCTCTCCCTGCTCCATGAGCTTTATCATACCTTGTCTTAAAACTATGCATGGCTCCCGCCTCCACTACGTCACTTTCTAGGCTGTTCCACGGCCTGACAACTCTGAAGAAATACTTAATAACATCCCTTTGACTCATCTGAGTCTTCAATTTCCAATTGTGACCCCTTGTTTCTGTGTCCCATCTCTGGAACGTCCCGTCTTTGTACACCTTCTCTATTTCGCGCAGTATTTTATATGTCGTTATCATGCCTCCCCGGACCCTCCTGTCCTCCAGTGTCGTCAGGTCAATTTCCCTTAACCTTTCTTCGTAGGACAGTCCCCTTAGCTCTGGGACTAGTCTTGTTGCAAACCTTTGCACTTTCTCTAATTTCTTGACGTGCTTGACAAGGTGTGGATTCCAAACTGGTGCTGCATACTCCAGTATGGGCTTGATGTAAATGGTGTACAGAGTCTTGAACAATTCGTTACTGAGGTATCGGAACGCTATCCTTAGGTTTGCCAGACGCCCGTATGCTGCAGCAGTTATCTGATTGATGTGCACCTCAGGAGATATGCTCGGTGTTATACTCACCCCAAGGTTCTTTTCCTGAGTGAGGTTTGCAGTCTTTGGCCACCTAGACTATACTGTGTATGCAGTCTTCTTTGCCCTTCCCCGATCTTCATGACTTTGCATTTGGCAGGGTTAAATTCAAGGAGCCAGTTGCTGGACCAGGCTTGTAGCCTGTCCAGGTCGCTTTGTAGTCCTGCCTGATCCTTGACCGATTTAATTCTCCTCATTAACTTCGCATCATCTGCAAACAAGGACACTTCTGAGTCTATCCCTTCCGTTATGTCTTTCACATATACCAAAAACAGCACAGGTACTAGGACTGACCCTTGTTGAACCCCGCTTGTGTGTGTGTGTGTGTGTGTGTGTGTGTGTGTACTCACCTATTTGTGGTTGCAGGGGTCGAGTCCTAGCTCCTGGCCCCGCCTCTTCACCGGTTGCTACTAGACCCTCTCTCTCCCCGCTCCATGAGCTTTATCAAACCTCGTCTTAAAACTGTGTATGGTTCCTGCCTCCACTACGTCATTTTCTAAGCTATTCCACTGCCTT